TTGGGCTAGATGTGTATGGGCTGGATGTTTTTGGGCTAGATATGTATGGGTTAGATGTGTTTGGGCTAGCTGTGTATGGGCTAAATGTGTATGGTCTAGATGTGTTTGGGCTAGCTGTATATGGGCTATATGTGTTTGGGCTAGCTGTGTATGGGCTAGGTGTGTTTGGGCTAGCTTTGGATGGGCTAGATGTGTTATGGCTAGATGTGTTTTGGCTAGATGTGTATGGGCTATGTGTGTTTGGGCTAGCTTTGGAGGGGCTAGCTTTGGATGGGCTAGCTTTGGATGGGCTAGCTTTGGATGGGCTAGATATGTATGGGCTAGTTGTGTATGAGCTAGACGTGTTTGGGCTTGTTTTGTATGAGCTAGCTGTGCATGGTTTAGCTGTGTTTGGGCTAGATGTGTATGGGCTAGTTGTGAATGAGCTAGGCATGTTTGGGCTAGCTTTGTATGGGCTAGCTGTGGATGGGCTCGCTGTCTATGGGCTAGATGCGTTTGGGCTAGCTTTGTTTGGGTTAGCTGTGTATGGGTTTGCTGTGTTTGGGCTAGCTGTTAGCTCATCAGTCCTGTTAGAAATAAAYTGTTTCTCCTAAACTGAGATCTTTSAGTTAACTGTCAACSGATTTTGCAGTTTTTCAATAGAACTGTATCTGAAAATGGTTGAACTATTACTTTAAAACAGTAAGCAATCAAATGACAGTCCGTAAACTCTGTGTTCATACCTCTTGACTTAATTTCTTGGAATCTCTCTAACTCTTACTGAATGATCTCGTCTCTGATACGATTTGACACTACAGTTTTCCTGTCTTTTTCCATGAAAGGCCGCAGGTCACTTATCTTATTAGTTTCACAATACGTGCTTTGTGTGTGTGCGTTATGTAAATTATTATCTAACTTGTTTATATGTAGAAAAGACAGACACAACCTTATCCACTGTTCAACTCAAGGAATGTGGTGCACAGACTGCTTGTGCTTTGGGCTCACAGGGCATGAAAGTAATTATAAAGTCAAGCTGTTACACTTGAATAACTATTCTGCATCTGAAACGTTCTGTCCCTGAATGAATTTACCCTCACGTTTAATAATGTCTTGATAAACAAGCACCGGATCATTCCCTGTAGCACACAGTCATACGTTAAAAACAAGATGGGGGGATGCATTTTCACTCTTCTTTTATTAAAGGTTTGATCTATAAAGAATTTAAATCCTGGCATTCCTYAAAGGAAAGGTACAGCCACATCAAATTTAATCAATGTAATCAGTTGTGATGACTTTCTGTAAGTTTCCCCTACAATTGATTCAGTGGCTCATGAGATATTTTGCTAACAGAGAGATTCACACACAGAGGCACAGACAAAACCCTCTCTGTTTGCTTTCAGGCATTAATAAACATATTTTAGTTGGGAGGAAACACAAATATGAGCCCTTGAGAGTTTTGTGTGTTTAGTCTTTATCAGAATCATATATCATTTTGCTCTGAGCTTGAATTCTGGATACGATCTGCTTTTATTTCACCACTCTGCCTTTTCTATAAATATGTCGAAATGATCCTATCTGCGCTGTGAACATCTTTCATAATAAACAAGCTCCCATTAAATCTTACTTACACTTTAAATGTCATWAACACCCGATAGTCTCACACAATAAAAACTGTTGAGTAACACCAATTATTTCTTTGACTCACAAGCAAAGTGAGGCAAAAATACTTTGATTTAGAAAAAGTCACTGCTTTAATATATTTATGTTATTTTATTGTTTGTTTTTCAAACGGCAAAAAGGTGAAACGTGTATTTTTGATTAGAAGTGAAGCACAGCTCAACAGTTCTAAGTGATAGCTGTTCAGGTGACTATGGCAACAAAGCAGTCTATTTGTAGTTGATGTTTTCACCCTTGATGTTTTYCCCCTGTGGTTATCTTTAGTGGCCCAAGTTTCTGTGGGTGTTTCATCTCCACATCCTTTACACGAGGCAGAAATACTGAGTTTAAACGAGGTGACAACAAGGCGTCAGCAGCAGCGTGCAGAGCCTCGGCGAAAAACACGAAACTAAACCCATAAACTGTAAATCTGATTTGGTTGTGCGCGGCAAGGAGGATGCAAAGATTTGATTAGGTTTTTTTTTTTTTTTTTTTTTTGCATGCTCGTATCAGAGGATCATCTTCACCTTCACACGAGAGGTTTGCTACTGAGCGAGAGCAGATAGCAGATGGGAAACAGAATTCTGCCTGTGGTAGATATTTTTACAAGAAGCTGCCGGCGGCCTGGCACCAACGTAATGCTTTGTGTTCTGTTTGCACAATAAATGCATACTACTGTGTTTTGTTTTTAAAGTAAAGTTTTTTTTACAGAAAGGTCTGGAATTTAATTAGAGCATTGCAACACTTTGGTTTTCCTGAGCTGTTCTGTTGTAGATTAACTGTTTGGGATTATTGTCTTTCAGACAGATGGACTCACACTTGACTCTAAAATCCTGCAGGGCTCCACTCAGAGACTGCAAGCAGCCCAAACCATCATCCCTCCACCACTGTGCTGACAGCTGGGAGGAGCTGATCTGATCATGCTCATCTTGTCATGAGGGGTTTGCTACAGTGGCAGAGCAGGTAACAGAAATGGAATTCTGCCTGGTTTGTTTCAAACGTGGTGCATTGTGGGTAAAGATCAGTCTAATAGATCTTGTTCCAGGAGTTTTATGGGCAATAAATTGAAGAAATTTATTTGGGTTTAGGTTATATACTGATTTTTATTTACATACACGTGGTCTTAAGATAAGATAAGATAAGATAAGATAAGATATTCCTTTATTAATCCCGCAGTGGGGAAATTTACATTGTTACAGCAGTATAAAAAAGCAAAACCAATTTGAAAAACTATATATACACAGTAAAATCAAGTGAATATAGAAATACTAAAAAACAGTATTATTCRAAATATAAATAAATAAACAATTTCCAGGTTTATTGCCTGTAGTAGAGAGTGGTGAACTACTTAGAGCAGTGGGTATTGTACAGTCTGACGGCGGCTGGAAGGAAGTCTTATGATAGAAGAACTGTAAAGATTGTTAAATGTGACTGTTTTGCTTAACTTGATGATTTTAAATAGATAGATACATGCCTGAAAACAAATTCAACACATAACTGAACTTTTAAATCTTCATGAGGCTACGTTATAAAATGTCTGGAGACATGGCTTCGAGCAGCTGTAGGGACCCCTCCCCAGTGACGTAATCAAATGGGCGGAGCCATGTCTCGGAGCCTGTGTTAAATTCAATTCTCTTCCTGGTTTTTTGTCTGACTGCTTGGTCAATAAACCAGCCTTCAGCAGAGTGCTCTCTTTATTTATCTTTTCCATGCATTGGTACATTCTCCGTATGGTTCAAGCACACAAACTGGTAAGCAAACACGTATAACAATATTTTCTTTCAAAATCATGATTGACACACGATCAATGGCAATAGAAAACACATCAAATAAATTGTGGATGATTTCACTGAACTCCAACCCAGAACCACACGGCATTCTGGGGGATGTAGGCAGAAGAAAGGCTTTACCTGCTCAACCTCATGGCCCAACTAAGCAAGGTTCAACTAACTCACTCCCTCTTTGGTCAGCAGCAACAACCTGCTGAGAAACATGCAGCAGTTTCATGTTTCACCACCGAGACTCATGACTGCTGGAGTGAAAGGCAGTAATATTCAGCCTTTTTTTTCTCCTGGTACTTATTTCAGAAAGGTAAAACAATAATAAACCTTTATTTTAACAGGTAAGTCAGTTGAGAATGACGACCTGGTCAAGTAGTAGCAGTACAACCCAAACTGTCAGAGAACAATTAAACCTAACACTTAAAACAAGGGGTGAAAACAGGAAACCGAATAGGCACAGTGATCTTGTATGAATGTAAATAATTTTTAAAAGAGAGGAGTGAAATGAATGAGTCGAGCTTTAAGGTCCGTTGATTGTACAGCAGAGAAATGAAATTAGGGGCGACCAAAGGAGGAAGGGGATTTTTGTATGTGGAGACTGATGAGGTTAGTAGGACGTAGACTACGATTTACAAGAATCACCTGTGTGTAACTTAGTGTTCGTCCAATAATGGTTTTGTAAATGAACATGATCCAGTGAACTGGTCTGAGAGAGTGAAGAGATGGACAGTTTATCAGGGAGTAGAGATCCCAGTAGCTGCGTTTCTATTGCAAATGTGCAGAAAACTTTGTCGATATTCTGGTAATGTCGAAAAAACACAGTTTCACATTTGCGGTGTTTCCATCAAGTAAGAAAGGCTAATAAAATCTTGCGTGAATATGTTTGTTCACGTGATAAGTCATTATAAACATGGCGGCAACGGATGTAAACCATGGCACTAGTGCTCATCGTTAGCCATCAGAGGAGACATCGGCATCTTATCGAGGCTTTCGAGCGACWAGCCCCTTATACTTGGGAGCAACTACGTATGGTGTGTTTTTGGGAAATTGTAGTCGGCGATTTTACTGTTTTCTTTTACTACTTCGGTGATATTACTACTACTTCTACTTCCTGTTGAGTTSTTCTTCTTCTTGGTCTTTTTCGCCAGTAGAAACATCTGGTTGTTGATCATGTGACTCCTGTGATGTGAAAAAAGTGTTTCCATTGCAGTTTTGCGAAAAACACTAATTTCGATACGGCCGAAAAACCACCTTATCCTAGCGCAAAACCATTTTGTCGAAAAATGTAAGTTTTTTAGAAAGTGACGTGTTTCCATTTAGCAAATTTATTTTCAAATTCTAATTTGCACATTTTCATTGGTCAGTGGAAACACAGCTTGTGAAGCACCTGTGAAAACCTAATAAATCACAACAAAAAACTAATCAATAATTATCAATATCGACTGAAACGAAACARTTATATTGTGGAACATTTTTCAGTCATGTCGCCCAGCCTTAAAACAAATGTATCTTTGCAAACCTAACTTTGCTGCCTTGTTCTTTTTCCTCATCGCTCCACTGTTGATCAACAGAAAACATTGACACTGAAAGTTGTTTTACTTTTGCTGTTTTGTAACTTGACAAAATTAGAAGTGATCAAACCAGCAGAGGTGGAGATATATTTTGTCCAGCTCAACCCACAAACCCAGTTTTGACTCAGTTCTTCCTCAGCAGCAGATGGTCCGACTCTGGTCTGTGTGTAACTTTGAGACTAATCAGAGATAAACATGATGACATGTTTGTTTGGTGAAAGCTATCAGGAGACACCGAGTGGCTTTCACAATGTTTGAGCGTGAAACAGACATCAGGAAGATGAATTAGGCTGTTTGTAAATAAAAGAAACAAACAAACAAAAAGAAAACAAATTCATCAATCAGAACCCGTCTCTCCCTGCAGGGCCCATCCAAACAATGCATCCAGCCAACCTTGAAACAGTTTTGTTGCTTCTCTGCTGCTTGGCTGGTTAAAGAGGCAGAACGTGTCAACAAGTGGACCCCCCCCCACACACACACACACACACATACACACACGCACTCCCTTGACCTGGAGCTTACATGCAGATGAACAGCAACATGCCTGGCCCAAAACATGATCCAGGCACATGGTTCCCTGATGAGGATCAAAGGTCACATCAGTAAAATATGACTCCTCGCATCCCCCTTCTCCCCTCCCCTCCCCTCTCCCCTCCTCCTGTTCCTTTGGAGGAGGAAGCAGAGCTCTGGTCAATCAACAGGGTACACTTGATTTTGTGGAGTAGCACAGTTTTGATCTGTGTTTGCAGGATGTGCAGACTGTTCTACAAGTTCACACATCAACATGTGTAAAATACTGTAACTAACTTCAAAAAGGAGCATCTTCTGTGAAGAAGCATCTTCTCATGATTGATTGCTGGGTTGCAGATGATGTATCGACGTCATGAATTGCTGACAGGGGGCAGGAAATAAATGCAGCCTCGTTTCCTTCTGTTGATTCAGTGTTAAAATGTCTAAATTCTGTGCCATGTACGGTTGTTGCCACCGCTCTTATCAGGAGAAATATCAAAGTTTTTTGTGTTCAGAAAGTAGTGTGTCAGAAAAAGACGACAAAAACAGGAGGTGTGGAAACGAATAACAGAGTTTGCAGTGACCACTTTCTAACAGGTCAGGATCGCATTGTTTAAATCATATTTTCAGATATTTTACTTGAATTTGGGTTAACATAAGCTAAATTTATTTAAAAGTAGATCCAAGAACATAGAAATTACAGSTCCTCGTTGTTAGGGTTAGTAATAGCATTGTTATCATGGGCTAATTATGACCCCCGCATGCGAAGCGTAAGCGGGAGTCATATTGTTTTCGTACGGTTTATTTTTATTTTTAAATATATATTTTTCAGTGATTTTGGTCAAACATAGCACAAAAACGGCTGCACCAATCAACATAAAATTTGGCAGGGCTGTAGATGAGTCTGACTTACACTCTGCCAGCCAACGGTTTTATGATAGACCCCATATTTAAGGAGGGGGCTCCTTTCAAAGAGGGGGTGTCTGGGCATGCAACAATTCTTATAACTCAGAAACTGTTTAACATAGGAGCTTCAGATTTCTTTGGTTGTTTAGCTCTGATGAAGCTCTATACATCAGGCCCACCAATCAGTGCCCCYAGACCCAGGTGGGGCTACAACTCCAAAATACATATCTCAGAAAGCAATCAAACGTACTAAATGGTAAATGGTAAATGGTACTGAACTTAGAGAGCGCTTTTCAAGTCCCTCCGGACCYCAAAGTGCTTTACACTAACAGACATTCACCCATTCACACTCACATTCACACACTGATGATGGCAAACTACACTGTAGCCACAGCTGCCCTGGGGCACACTGACAGAAGCGAGGCTGCCATGCACCAGCGCCACCGGACCCTCTGACCACCATCAGAAGGCAAGGTGGGTGAAGTGTCTTGCCCAAGGACTACTAAGTTGTATCATGCCAGTGTATTTTTTAAACAAATGAAAATAATAAAACAGCATTACAATGTCATGTATCGTGTTATTTTTTGTACATTGTCATGGACTATTTATTTATATCTGTTTCACCTTGACACTGTCCATCACTCGTATCTTTCTGACAGCTCATTTCGGCTCGTTGTCTATTAGTTTCCAGACGTCAAGACTCCGCAACGGACTGAACTCTCTTGGTTGATAACACTCTTGGGCTGGGAGCCCTGTGATAGGCTGGACAGTATATTTGGCAATCTGTGATTGGTTGTAAACTGTCACATGGCGTTGACATGATGTTATATTACTGGCTGTAGTCTGCTGACGAGTTCAATTACATAATTACATATGAAATTTTGCTCTTCTGTTACTGAGAAGCAAATTTCTTCATGACTGGTTAAAGTCAGGGATGTTTTAATAAGATTCTTCTCTATAGAGCATGGTCTGTGCAGTGAGGTGTGATGTTGTACCTGAGGAAAGTCTGGATTCTCTTCAGTATTGAGTAGCTCCTCTCAGATTCAGCTGTGGTCAGAGGAGATGTGATGAGAATCTTCAGCAGAGTCACAGTCTCTGAAGGTGTCCTGCAGATTGTTCTACATGAAGGGCTGGTACAGGGCCATATCACCACTGCAGCTCCTGAACTAGATCAGACTTCTTGGTCCTGTTCAGCACTGGGTGAGCCTCCATGGTCTTCAGAGCTGCTTCAGAAAATAGTCTGTGATCCTGCAGGAACCTGTCAGTCTGCAGCACTGTAGCTCTGATCAGATGCATGTGAATGGCTCAAGATGTCAAACCTAAAATAAATGCACAAATTTAATTCAATATGAAGATGGCTACAAGTGAGCTTTCTAATAAATATTTAACATGAAAACAATTTATGTTATTTTAATAGCAACGAACTGTTGCAGCTCTAAGTTAATTATTACATTATATGTTTATTTGAAAAATGTATTCATTTTATTAAAACAAAATAAACTATGCACAACAGAAGAAAAAATATGTATAAATAAAATGAAAGGCAGCAGAAAGAAAAAAAATCTTTTAATATCTGCCCCTTTTTAAAGAATTCAAACAGTAGTAATTTATAAAAAACTAAACTAAACTAAAACATACAGATATTTTTACATTATATTAAGTTTTGTTCACCATTAGGGAACACCAACACAATTACTCCATGTAAATCAAACTTCTGTGAAATCAAACTGTCCACTTAGGAAGTAACACCGATTACAAACAATTTCACAAGCTGTCAGCACATTCATGTCAAGACTGGGTAAATGAGTTTCACTAAATTGCCACACACCAGAGCAGTTTTAAGGTTTTTATTTAAAAACAGGCAGCTGGTTCTGGATCCTAGCGTCACAGGGATCAGGAGCTCTAAACAACAGAGAACCAGGTTAGTGACTTGGATGGACAGAGAACTTGACGAAGTGTGAAACAGTCACTAACCTTTTCAAAGAGCGGGGATTCCGGGGATATCCCTTGAGTGAYGTAGACAGGCGGGGAARACRTCTGAAGACTTTGCAACGACTTCCGTGTTGCGGGCAATGGAGGTGTTTATTTACCTCGGGGAAATCCTTAGCACAAGCAAGGGTCATACACATGGATCCGAAAGGCAGACTTTGTTTGGAAGGAACAAACTTATCTCTTGGTCGAGGAACGGAGACTGAGGTCTGGAACCGGGAGGCAGATGGCTGGATGAGTCCGACAAGGGCAAGAGCAAAGGGCAAAAATCCATTGGAGGAGTCGAGGGTCAAAACCAGGTGATCAGAATCCAACAAAGTACCGTTCAGGGGCAAGGCAGGAGACGTAGGACCAAAAACCAGAAAGAGAGTCGTGACCAGGCAGACCAGACGTGACATGAGAATGCTAGACATTTACTTGGCGAACCGTTCAATACTCAGGTGCTGGAGCAGTGGTGGTGGAGAACTTAAATACTGGGGAGAACAGGTGAGTGACATGATGCTTGATTATGATCCTAATTAGTGAATGACGTGACAGGGAGGCTGTGGCAGGTGGAGCAGAATGTGACTCATGACAATTCAACTTTATTTAGAAGAAAGTATTCAATGAGACTATTTCATTCATTCATATTTAGGATGAGCAGTTGTTACAAAATGGCTAACAGCATGTAGCCATTCCTTAATGCTAAACCATGTTATTCTCAATTTTTATTATGTTTGGCTTTTCTGGTCCAAGCTACAGCACTTTAAGTTTCTCCTCATATGTTCTGCTTTGAAAAGGTTTAGATATAAAAGTTGTTCTCTCCTTCATTCTCGTTTGTTGTTCTCCAAAATCCGCCTGCCGCAGCTAGCAGGGCTGCCGCATTAATATGACATTGAGTCGTCGACAGAGTGGACTCCATAGAAATGAATACGAGAGGTCAGCTGTGGGGCGGTGACGAGCTGCRCTCCAGGCCACTGTATTATTTTGCATTGGGGACTTACTGTGCATGTCCAAAATCTTCCAATGACTTGCCTATGGGAGTCTGGGGCGGTGAACGGCCCGTGACCCGGAAGTGACTCAACACGAAAAAGCTCATGAGTAAAATGGAAGTTTACACATCAATAAGTCTAAATTATTTATTTTACTTATCAGAAAACATTTATACAATATTTTTGAAACATTTAAAATGTTTTATTTAGTTATTTTATTTATTTTTTAATTTTTTGTGTACAAAAAACTAGTGGTGGGGCGGCTCCCTAGCACCCCCTATTGACCAGCTGCCACTGTTAGGAATAAAAACTTCTGAGTTCTGGTGCATGTGTGCATGCGGGGGTCATTATGTTACCGCTATGTGGTATCTAGTTATTTAAAATAACACAGCTCTACTCACCCGGGCAGAAACAAGTCTACAGACATTTAAAGCTTCTTTGGATCCTAAATGTTTGACCCAACCTGAAACTAAACTAGATACCGCATAGCGGTAACATAATGACTCCCGCACGCACAAATTCACCAGAACTCAGAAGACTTTATTCCTAATAAATGTCATGCTACTAGGTGAATCCCAAAATTGTAGTGATTTGGGTGGGGGTCTTTTTTATTCGGAGGGGGGGCACTGATTGTTAGACCTGATGGATAGCCCCTCATCAGAGCTAAACAACAAAAGAAATCTGAATCTCCTATGTTGAACAGTTTCTGAGTTATAAGCATTTTTGCATGTCCAGACACCCCTTTTTCAGATAAATTGGGGGGGGGGGGGGGCACTGATTGGTGGGTCTGATGGATAGAGCTTCATCAGAGCTCAACAACAAAAGATTGTTGTTTACATGGAAAAGTCTTTAATCACTTTTGATTTTAATAGAATGAATGATATTGCTACTTCAGCACCTTACATTAGGCATGAAGCTGTTTCTTAGCTTTATGTGCTGCTGCTATAAGTCCCAGGTGACAACTGGAGTTATTTATTTGGCGATAAAGCTTTATTTTCTTTTTCTGATGCTCAACT